CCCCTCCTCCTTCCCAGACTGACGTAAGCAGAAAGTTATTTTCATGAATGGAGGGGGCGGTCACGAGGAATCGGTGACGTGAGTGCTTGCGGAAGCAGAGCGTGGAATGTTGGTACATTGTTGTTGTTTTGTAGTTAATTTAGTACGAGGATACACCGCTGCCCGGCCGCTGGACGCTGTTACAGCAACTGTGTCAACTTACTACCGTCGGATCTAAAAAGGAAAACCTACTCCGCCACTTTTACGCATTCCGGGTCCAACAGATTTACGCGTCCACAGAGGTGAGCTTGTTGGTTTTTTTTTTTGGTAATACATTTTTTTCTCTCTCTCAGGAAGATGTTTTGACATTCCTTTAGAAATTGCTCAGAAGTTCTCACGGTGGCACCGCGGCGCAGTGTCGGTCTCACACACGCCCGTCACGTAGGATAAAGTTTTGATCCCCGGTTATGATGGTTGATGTTGACTTTGCGGATTGTTTCAGTCGCGCGGACACGTGTTGTGTTGGAGAAACACAACACAATACTACAAAAAAAAAGTGGCTCAGTGATCGGAGAAGTCGCATGTAGAAAGTGAGGCGAAAATATGTCTAATTTTATTTGTTTTTTATTTTATTTTCTCCTTGTTTGTTTAAAAAAAAAACTGTTTCCAACCTTTTACGCATGTCTTTATCATTCATTTAAGTGGGTTAATTGTGACATTGGCTTAGGACTATTGATTTTTTTTAATTCAACAAAGTTTATAAGGAGTACAGGAATCCACAGCAAAGGGAGGTATTCAAGAAACATTTTTCAAATATATAAAATAACAATGTTACGCGCAAAGCTATTACGCTTATTTAACACTGTAAACATATACATATATTTAATCATTTTTTAAAAGATATTATTAAACTACTTACAGCCACTAAAGCATCATGCTAAAATTTCTTAGGAATTAAAAAAAAAAAAAGTTCTTTTTATTTGTCAGTTATTTATAGCTCATGTCACTGGCGTGCGCTTTTGGGGAAAATGGAAGTGAGACTAACTTCTCTGACTGCCCTGTTGAAACTAATGTATGTAAAACATTTGCCCTTCAATTCTGGCACTGTTGTTCAAGTCACTGAACACAGACTGCTAAATAATGCAACAACAACAAAAAAAATTGCCAGCCTGTTTTTGACATTGGAATCAACACGTGGTCTGCATTTTAGACATGTGGGACAAAGGGCACGACGTGAAGTTAGACCACCAGGGCTGACTGGCCTCCACAGGAGAAACAAGCAGTCACTAAACAGCAGGAGGGGCGCCTGTTTCCACAAACAATAAATCACTCTGGAAGACGAAATGGATTTATCTTATCACCCTGTTTTAGCTATGATTTCTGTTCCACATAAATCTCCACAGGTAAGGAAAGTGTGTCCAGAGAATACAATGATCTAACTGAATGTTTGGACAGTGACCTAATAAAACCACAGTTTTTTTTTAATGTCCACCATTTAGTTTGTCCTTTACTGGATAACTTGTGACCTTTTTTTTCTGCTATTGTGATTAATATGTGGAAAATATTAGCATCTGAGTAACTTGTTCCACTTTGATGGTCACAGATTTGTGCCCCCGAGGCTTTTTTTTTTTTTTTCTGATTCTGGTGGGTGCACTGTGTCTGTCAAACACCGAGGCAGTGGGAGCGGGTGCACTCCTCTGTCATGAGGTTAACATGTGGTTCAATCACCAAAGTGTTGATGGTTTTTTTTTTCTTCTTTTGGATGGAGAAGTTACAGCAGCTGACTCATTTTACCACTGGGAGAAATTCCCCCTGAGGACGCAGCATATAGCCGAAATTGTCTTCAGTTTTGCACTCCGTCTCATTTCGCTGGACAGTGGTGATGGATGAAAGCAGCGCGAGAGTGCAAAACGTTTCTGTGGTGGAGGGTTGTGAAAGTGAAATATTTGTGGTTAGTGATGCGATGACTCACAGGGAACACGTTCGCTATGATGTGTTTTGCTCCTTTTACTGGAAAAAAAAAAGAGAAAGAGTTCTGATTATTGATGTTTGAAACCATGGGTGATCTTCTAACATGCCAGACAGAGAGCATACAGGCAGTAAGAGCTGATTGTGTGAACAGGTCTGTCTTGCATCCATCAAAAGTGACAGGTATATAGTGACTGAGAGTGCTCGCTCTGCCACCTGCAGTGTCTTTTCTTGCTTTTTCTGTCAGAATTCTCTGGATCTGAACACGGTGCTGTCAGCTCAGAGGTGTGGGAACAGTCAGGTTTAGTTTGTGGGATTGTGTAATTGGGAATTCCTTGTCAGCTCTTAATGGGGCTGATGGCAACTTGCTGACTCAAACTTCATGTTGACAGCAACCCAAGCAGGCACTCATAATGTATGTTTAGCTGTCAAATTCCATCCTCGGCTCGTTGTTGTGAAAGAAAAGCATGGGAATGTATTGTTTTTTTTATATTTCATTAGAAACAAAATGTTTGGTTGTTATGAAAACAGACCTAGTATGTCCCCCCCCTTTTTTTTTTTTTTTTGCATTCTTGACATTTCTTTGAATCCCAGCTGTCCACGGCTGGGAGAATATCTGAATATCCTCTTCACAGATATTCGATGAGTTCCCCTCCCTTTTCCGCGCAAAACGTTCCGGCGGTCATGCCAACCATTTCCAAGGTTCTCTGTACTTTTCCTTCCTCCCCGCGAAACAACGGGATTTTCCAGGAAACGTCAGATCAGGAGGGTGTGATTCCCTGCCGCTGGTTGTCGCTTTTACCAGTAAACAGCATGACTCACTGCTCAGCTATGCTCTCCATTTCCTTCACATAATATCCCACCAAATGTGCTGCGCTGGAGAAAGAGCAGAGGGCTGCGCACCTCTGTCTGTACAGAAATCTCTCCACCCTCCCCCTTGGAAGAAAAGAAGAAGAAAAAAAAAAATGCAAGAAAAGCAAGAGCTTTCTCAGCAGAGTGTAGTAGTAGTCTGTCAAGGGCAGCAACAAGTCTGCTTTCTGGTGAACCCAGTCCAAAAGCGACACAAAAAGAGCAGAAGAAGAATAACAAAAGAGCCCAGAGGAGCCGACTCTGCATTTATCACTGAAGCATAAGCGCAGAACTCTTTGATTTGCTGTTTATTTTAGGAGAACTCAGGGCCCCACAGTTACCTGCTGGAACTCAAGTGCAGCCATGAGCTTGACCAGACCCCCTGACTTTAAAAACATTTTCATCAGGCATCACTGAACAGAAGGTGCAAGGATTTATTAAACTGTTCTAGCTGCAAAAAAATGGAGTTCAGTAATTCAGTTTTTCGCCTGGTATTTCCTCTCAAACAGGCCACAAATGGTCTTTTAAAAAAAAAGAAAAAAAAAAAAAGAGGTCTGTCCCTTTTCAAAACAACACCCAAAGAAGAAAACAGGCATGCTTTGCTTCCCACAACTGGCTTAACAAACAAGCTCAGCCATGAGAAGGTGTGTATAAAGGGCAGCTATTTGAGCAGTTACTCCAGTGTTGGCATGAATTGGTGATAATATTGTTGCTGAGTAAATAGTACATCTGTGGTTATTAGTCATCAGAGAAGCCTTGAGGAATAAAACAGTATTATTCTAATCAGGAAAGTTCAAATGAAACCCTTCCTCAAAGAGAGAGGCTTCTCACTTCTGCACATGCCTTTTGAGTTGTTTTTGGCGAGCCGTAGACGCTTCTGAATCCCAGACGTTTTGTGAACGTTTGCTGTCATTGTTTTACGAGTGGGGATTGTCCAAAAAACTCCACCTCCCGGAGCCGAGTGCATCGCAGGACATATCCAGCCTGCATGTTCCCTCTCCGCTCGAGATATTTAGCCTGTGTGCATGTGAGGCTTTGCACATGTGTGTTCACTCAGGAATGCGGTTTTGTTCTTTACCCGCCATCTGTGGCTTTTCTTTGAGGTATTTTCCCAGACTCCTTCTTTTCCCCCCTCGCTGTTATGAAAAACCTAACGCGAGTTGTTTTCTCGACTATATTGAGAAGCCGTGTTTTGTTTGTCTGTCTCGTCTGTGTGTGACACAATCGTAAAGTGTGGATTTTGCCTGTGTGATATAATTGCTGTTTTTGCCTCCAGAGGAAACTTTTGGATCCAGAAAAACCGAGTCTCTGGTGCAAGTTGCATAAGCACATGCCTAAAGAATTTCAGGGAAACAACCTGGCCTCTTGGTCCAGTCTGGAGGCCTCCTCCTGTATGAAGAGAGGGAGGCCCCGCACCACTTTTCCATGATCTTCAGGAGGAATATACCCAGGGACCCCCCACCTCTGACGCAATATCACTTAAATGGGGCTGTTTAGGCCAGCTTGCTGTCGAGGAATGCTTTATTCTAGCCCTTCATCTTTATTTGATGCCTCTGAAATCTCAATTATGCAAGTCTTTGCAGCATGTTTCGCAAATGGATAAAGGACATCAGAGAGCACACCAGATGTTCTTTAAATCTCTAAACACAAGTCTATGCGGCTCGCTACATTTATTTCACATCTGTTTATTTTTCCAAGCCTAACTTAAGCTATTTCAGGGACTCTGACTAATGTTTGAGAGTAAGTTGTTTTTCATTTTCACCACACATTTTTGCTTACCAGCTTTCCTCCATGAAAGCTGCTAGGCTGCGAGGAGAATATTTGCCCTCTTACCGGGGTATCACTTATCGCATGCTCGCTTAAATTGTTTAGTTGGCAGAAATTTGTGTCAGCACTGTGGGCTAAATATATCCGCCAGAGTTAAATAAGGGCATGGAGCGGCTCAGGAAAGCCCAGTGTAAGAGGATCCAACCAGAGAGACACAGCGCTAAATCGATAGACAACATTGTCTCACAGCGAAAATACATCAGTGACTATAAAGGAAACTATTTCTCTGTGACACTCTATCTCCAGGAATTTTCCACATGCGTACCTGCTGCCCTGTAAAGTTCAGCATAACTGTAAATGTTATCCTGCTGCGTTGATCTGTTTTAATGTGGGATGAGGCAGCAGAGTGGTGTTGGACCTGACTGTGCCCCCCCCGTAGACGCAGAGGCATCAGATTAGAGGATCAAACATGTGATGCAAGAGGGAAATACAGTAGAAAAAAATCGAGGAATTCTGCACACAGGATGTCCCGAGATTATCAGCACAAGTTAGTGCTTCTTCTCAGTAATATGTATGGGCTGTGTTGCGGTTATGAATGAGACTTGTTTACCCTTTTGGTGACCATGTGACTCATACTCCCACGCCCATTTGCAGGGCGTTTCCATGGTAGCTGTCGAGCATGGAACAGTGCACTCGTAGTCAGGCTTGGTCTGCAGGTCCTGAAATGGAGCCTTGGGGGGATGTGTGCCTCTCACAGGATCACAGCTCAGCGCTCTCGCTTTTTTTGGCCATGGCAGCAGTCTGGAAAGCATGTGGCTCACTGTAATGAGTACAGAGAGGCTTTTCTAAAAACTGCCCTGGCAAAAAAAATCGCTAGGGCGAGAGACGGCTTAAATGCAAAGTTCTATGAAGAGCAAGGGGAGAGGTTGCCTGTTTCTAATTTTGCTTGGTCTAGTGAACTACATAGTCAAGGCCCTCCTCCTCTAATAGGTAAATACAGACGTTCTCCGGTGACGGTGTTGCACGGTGTCATGCTGCCCTCTGCTGACATCTGCGGCAAGCGAGCGCTGATATTGACGTATGATGTAACCCTGGAATGTTGTTGTGATGTCTGTAAAGTGAGCGTATAGAAAGGAGTGTCAGCAAATGTGTTATTCTGGATTATCTTATACAAAAATGTGCAGCACTGGAGGGAGTATTCAGATCTCTTACATGGGTGCAATTAATAGTATCACATTTACAAAATACCTGATTTCAACTCATGTACTCAGATTTCTTGTGCAGCTGGTGTTACATATTACATGACTGGAATATAGGAAATGGTGCACCAACACGTAAGCAGCTGATTGATTTTGTAGCAGGTCAGAAGGGAGTAAACCTTCATCGTATTTTATAAACTGATCACATATGCAAAGTAGAAAAGCGCACATTTTGGAAGTGTTCATGTTGTGTTTCACTTTACTGATTTAAAGTTTTTCTCTTTTCTCTTCTCAGTGTGTCTTCTGTGAGGTTCTGGTCAGTTGTCTGCATGCAGGGAATGACGACTCATTTTAAGACGAGCAAAGCTTTAAAGGTAAGTGCGAGAAGGTGAATTACCGGTTGTGCATCCACTCACGTGCTGCTGTTCTTCACCCACTGCTCACGTACCCCTTGCAGGTCAAGAAGGAGGCGGGCGAGAATGCCCCGGCGCTCAGCGACGACGAGTTGGTGGCCATGTCCGTGCGGGAGCTCAACCAGCACCTGCGTGGGCTGACCAAGGAGGACGTCGTGCGGTTGAAGCAGCGGCGGCGGACCCTGAAGAACCGCGGCTACGCCGCCAGCTGTCGCATCAAACGGGTCACCCAGAAGGAGGAGCTGGAGAGACAAAAGACAGAGCTGCAGCAGGAGGTGGACAAGCTGGCCCGCGAGAACGCCAGCATGAGGTTGGAGCTGGACGCCCTGCGAGCCAAGTATGAGGCTCTGCAGTGCTTCGCCCGGACTGTGACCCGAGGGCCCCTCTCGCCGGGCAAAGTGGCCACCACCAGCGTCATCACCATCGTCAAGTCGGCCAACCACAACAACTCCAGCCCGACCCCGTTCTCGGCTCCGTCCTAGTGCTGACAGGACTGGGCTCACCTTCTCCTGCCTGGTCCTTCCTGGTTTCTGACCTGGCCTGAACCCACTCATCCTGTACTGAGAGGATGCTCAGTAGTTAGACTGAGGGATGGTTATGGGGTGGCAAGCTCTGTGTGATATTATGCTGCAGTCACAATTCTGACTCCTTCCTTCTGTTTCTCTTACACAAGCTACATTGTCTGTGCACTGTGCAAAAAAAAAAAAAACCCTCCCTGACCCCCAGCACCGGCAGGGTATCGGGCCTCTGTGACCCTACCTCCATGACTGATAGCAGAGATTTGCTTTTACTCCAGCGTCAAGTATTGCTTTAATGTGGCAGCACATGGGTTTAGGACGGCTCGGATACGTAAAGCTATGAGCATAAACTGAAAGAGATTTACACAGTACATACATGACAGCACAGCTATTCCTTAGCCAAATCATATTTGTTCAATGTAAATTGAGCCACTGAAGCTGTTGCCTTAAATGAACCTACAAGTGATCTAAATCTCACACAAAACAATGAGGTGTTATCCTCCCAGCATCGAGGTCACCTGTTCGTAGCCGGACTTGCAAGTGTTCTCCAACCAGATGCCTTTGAGAAGCTGCCAAACCCAAGAGCAGATGTTTTTTACTGATATGTTCCTCTTCTCTTTTAGGAGGTGCTAAGCAGTAAAAATCACCTGTTTTAGTGTCTGGTTCAAGTGAAAACCTTCCTACATGCATTTCTCTGTTTGGAGAACACTGCATGATGCAGTTGATAACTGACCAATGTTTAGCGTTACACTATTGTTTCTATTTCTGTCTTGGTTACGCAAAGTTTGCAAAACCCTTCTTGCCAAATAGCTTATTTAATCTCCAGGAAGTAATGCCAGAGAACAGCAGCTAGTACACCCAGTAAAGGCTTTCATACAACTGCTGATGGAGGTCTAATCCGGCGGTGTTGAAGTAATATTTTTGTGCTTTTGCTGAACTATATTGACTCCCCCTTGTAAAATATTATCAAAGCTGGCCATTTGTGCCTCACATCTACATCTAAAGGACGTGCCTCACATCTACAGGGTGTCTGTGTCGGGTAGATCAGAGCTCAGACTTTTTGAATCTTGAAGTTGCTGTCATACTCGATTTTAGCGGAGAAGTTGCTGAATTAGTCAGTGGGGCTGAAAGGTGTTTGCTATGTTGTTGAAGACATTGTTGGGAAGGTGCTGCATGTGATTTCGTTGGTGTGTTCGTAGCCTCTTGACTCGAGAAATTAATCACGATCTCTATGTTATATAGCTGTGGAACAGGTAGACAAGACTAAAATGTAAAATCGGAAAGTGATTAATGAGCGTTTTGGGCCAGATTTGTTTGGATTTGACATTGATTCGCATTTCTCATCATAAAGCACTTATAAGGAAACTGTTAAGGTACAGTATAAAATAAAACAGTTCACAGGGCTACTTATTTATAGAATTGAAGCTGACAGAAGCTGTTCTTGCATTTCTGTAGTTACTGGGGCTGAACTGCATGATGATTAAATGTGGTGTGACCACTTACTACAAGGTGAAGGCTAATGGGATGTTAAGCTCTCTGATATGTATAATGCAGCACTTACTGGCTGATGTTTTGCCTCTTTCCTTTATACGCCACTCTTTGGTTGGTAATCCATATTGGATGTAGTGATAACGAGAGCGGTCCTAATAAGTATGATGCAATTCAACCTTACCTCCTGTATATTACAGATTAGGGATGACAAAGCTCCCACCCGCTTCTGTCGTCACTTACATCGAGAACTCCGTCCAAATAGAAATCATTCCTACTGCTGGGTCACGAGAAGTGCTGCTGCCGGTGTTGGTTTACTTCAGTAGCTCTATTTTTTTTTTTTTTACCTTGCTTTTGACACACTCTTCTAACAAGAGAACTCCTGACGCCCATCTCTAGAAACAGTGGTGTCACAACAAATCAATGCAGTAAACACCTTGCTCTCGTTGTACGTTTTTTTTTTGTAATATTTAAATATGAAAAATTCACTTGAAATCAAGCCGCTCTTACCAAGGATCCATTCCTAATTTGGAGTGAAGTCAATAGAGATTGTTCATGTCAGGATTTTCTCTTGGCTAAGAGGACATGACAGTTCTTCCCCTGTTCCATAGCTGCAAAGAACAGTACGGGGAACTTTGCTGCTGTACAACCTGCTGTGATTTTTTAAGCAGGGGCATTGCTGTGTTCTTACTCTCATTTTGTATTTTCACTTGGGTTTCTATGTTGATACATCCTATGTTCTTTTTTCTGATACCTAGTTTTATATGCATATACAGTATATATAAATATATATATATATATATTACATATTTTTCTATATTTATGTATTTTACTATCCTGGGAGTGGTGTGACTATGTAATCAGTCTTTGAAGTCTAATTATATCGATGCTGACCTTTTTCTGGAAAAAAAAAGAAAAGAAAAAGAAAAAAAAAAGTTGTATTCACATTTACAATGAGACAACTATTCTCCTAAGTCTTCTCTGTGAGTGTTTAAAGCCCATCTTCTCAGCACATTTACTATTTGTCTAGTAGAATTAACAGTCTAAAAACAGGAAAAACTACATTCTGACTGTTAGTAAGGACACCTGTCACACATTACTGTGTAACTAAGCCATTATAGAATGATACAGATTAAGTTGCAAATCAATTCACAAACGATTTCTGGATCATGAAGTGCAAAATTTACACCAACCGTTTAGAAATCAGTGGTCTTAAATACTGAAAATGACTGTACATATTTCAACACTGCCTGAGGTTAGGACTGCCTAATATCAACCAAACGTTCAGTTTGCAGTCGGGATTTGTTTTTTTTTTAGGTTGCATTAGTTGATGACTTAATAAAAAAAACAGTTTAAAATTAAGATGACGGTAATGCTTTTGTAACTGTAAAGAAACCTTTACCTGAAAATAATTCCAAAGCTGTTTCAGACTATTCACCCAGACCTCTCACAGTTCAGGTCTGTTTTAAAGCCTGAGAACGAGTGCACATGTGTTTACAGTAGTCATGTTTTTTTGTTTTTTCCCCCCCAGCACATTTAAAAGATGCCTGAAAGCATTTTCTGCAAGGCATTACAGTGACCTCTTGTGGTAAGGTTTCAAAACAAAATGATGTTAAACGAGGCCTTGTTTAATCGTAGCACTTATTACTGCATTCGAGTCTGTGCGGCTTTTTTTTCATAAGCACACCTAAATAAATTTTTTTTTAAAAATGTTAAAGTATATATTTCTATTCTGTGCCAAATAAAAGACAAACCTTTCTCTGGGTGAATGAAGTACTCTGGTGTTAATCCTACATTCAGCGTGACCCGACAGGGCTCCATTCATGCTCGAAAACACATGTTGCTCTTAAAAAAACAACGCAATTTACATTTTCTGTGAGCCACATTTTTTGCTGAAATAAATGCAGATTTGCTCAAATTTAAAGAAGCATTGCACAAATATGCAGGTAAAAAGAGGCATAAACATTACCTGCCGTGGATGTTTGCTAAAACTTGATCCGGACTGCGTTCTTTCTTCATGCTGTGAAGAAAAGTTATTGGAACGGTTTGAGAGAAAAAAAAAAGGTTATTTTTTACATTTTTATATGAACCATAACAATGCAAATGTATGTAGAGAAATGAGCTTGATTGTATACCTTGACTAGATATTCAAGGTTAATTTAAAATTTCTCTCTGACAGCATGTCTTTGATTAAATAAGCTTTCACACACGCTTTGCCAGTCCGACAAGCTACAGTGTTTAACTTCAGCCATGATAAAGTCAGTTTGCAGAAGGAATGGAGCATGTATACAGATGATGTGGGTATGGGTGACATAATGGATAAAATGCATTGAATGTTAGTTCAACAGCAGCAATTTCTACGTTAAGGTTGTGCATATGAGATAAATGGATTTCTTTGTTGTAGTCTCATGGCAACATGTCGAGGCTTCATAAGTGACTGTCGATAGCAACTTTAAAAGAAGACAGTTAAAAGGCAGCATAGAGTGAGTATGTACCCTTCACAACTTGTCATTACTCTGCTCATATATATTTTATATTTATTTCATTGATTTGTGTAATTTTATTAAAAAAACAAAACACCTAAATTATTTTTTATTTTACATTCATGTATTTACATGTTTTCTCAATGAACTACCCTCATGTACAAATAAAAATCTGTATTTGTTTCTGCTCTGATTTAAAGTATGGTAAATTATTCCTATAAATAGGTCTGCTGTGTCTGTTTTTGTACTTTCAAATAAAGCTTTTTCCTTATTAAGCATTTCAGCTACTCAGTTCACCATGTGCAAGTTACAGAGGCAAAAACAATTACTTTATTTTGCATTAGTGCCAAACAAGACAAAGATGATACTATTTTAAGTCATTTTGTACCTAGCTGTAAAATCATTTCTGCTTTCCCAGACAGCTTTTATTGGCACAAGAGAATATAAAACTAGGACTTGATATACAAAAAATTGGTCTCAAATAACTAATCTGTTTAAAAAGTCACATGTCTTGCATTGACACAGATTGATAACATTTCTAGTGAAGAAAAGAGAAGAGAAAGTATCAAAAATTCTCTTAAAAGCATAAAGATTTCATTGTGTTTCTCTTCTCTTTGCCCACATTTCTGTTTCATCGAACTACGCCTGAACTACACACAATAAATACATTAGGATCTTTTCCTGTCATCTTCCAAACAAACATATTAAACATCACAATTTACACTAATCAAATTTTGTACATCATAATCCGAGGAACGCGGACTTATATTTTGAATAGTGGTGTGAACTTCTCAATCACATAAATCTCTGTCAAAAGCATTTACAATAGTGCAGAAGCTGCAAAAAAGAGAACTGTTAGCATCTGTTAAACAGCTGTCTCGTTGCACTGAATTACACTCTTTTGCACAGTGAGAAAATTAATGTGAATAATATAGCTCCCACTTTGCAGGAGACGGGTTTATCCAATTTGTCTCTGCTGTGGTAGATACAAAGGATTGTGAAGCGCAGTCTGCAGCTTGAAGTGCCTGCTCCAAAACTAATGTGTCTTTGAACAAATCCTTCCATTTGTCAGGAAATCATGCAGAGGAATGCTCAGCAAATACTTCAAACGAGGAGACGCGAGAAACGGTCCATGAAGTGCCATTCTCAGCCATCGCCGGCTTCCCTGCTTCCCACCTGGAGTCACGTATTAATCATCTCCTCTTTGAAACTGACATGAATCAGTGGGAGCGCACTTCACATGGCCAGAGAGCAAGCAGGGACATAATGACAGAATCAGCATCAGGGACTCGGCTGAACATCCAGCAGCAGCAGCAGCTCGATTTAGAGAAAATGCACAGCTCCGAACTCTGATGCAGTGAAGGTGACATGTCATTTTCATGCAGTTATTAATCCCGAGATGGAGACAGATCAGTTCTCTGGCTATTGATTTTAACTGTATTATATTTCATCCTCCTCTTTGGTGGTTTAAATTATCTTTAAAGTAGGGCAGAAGACAGCAGTCCATTTAGAAATACTGGGATCGTGGAACACCTGGGTTTCATCCAGCTCTGTGAGATATGCAATACAGCTGGCTCCCCAGGAGGTCAGAGATGGAGGTGGCGGGGGCACAGAAACCTGGATCTCGCTAGAAATATGCCTAGAACTCGTCATCAGATGTAATCAGCATGATTTTGTCAGACTTGTGGGAGCCCTTGTTGCCCGTAGCCACTTTTCCGTTAGCGCTGGGGTGGGTCACCTCCTGTGTGGATTGCTGGGTGTACTGCTGATAGGCTGGGGAGAAGTTGTGGATGGCGTCCTGTACCATGTCTCCCGGGTTTATGGTTTCCTTCAGACCACTGGAGATGCTCTGCATTGGGGGGATGTTCTCTGCAGAAACAACACAGGCACGGGTCAGACAGTATTTCCTGTGACTGCAATGTTGCAGGTTTAAATCCCTGAGAAAAGGGATCTGTCTGAATACAAATAAGAGGAAGCAGATGTGAAATCGAGGCCAATTTGAGTCGAAAAAAAACACAAAGTTGTTTCAAAGCAGGATTAAATAATATTTCTTGAAAATGAAAACAAGATGAATGATGAAAAAAAAATGCCTAGCAGCATGCTGAGCTGTTGTGTACATTAGATAAGTACATCATTTTGCTTTTTAATTCATTGCTAATCTTTAAAATGGTAAAACAGTGCAACAAATGTTCATTACAAATTCCCCACATCTTCAGACCGTCCAACCTACAGACCTTTACTAACCCTCTAAACCCCAAGCATGTTTCTGGGTGTTGTTTTTTGGTAGTTTCACATTTTTTCCTCACTGTTGGCAACTGCAATATAGAGTCCTGCACCTCGATGGAAACAGCACAGCCCTGGCTAGAAGTAGAGACACTGGAACCCATTCTGTGCAGCATAATACATTTTAAAAGGAAAAAAAAAAGAAGATTTCTTTATGTTACAAAAACTAAAAAAAAAAAGGAATAAACACGTACAAAAGTTTGTCCAAGTGCCCCAAGGTCTTACCAACACTGGGACAAAGTAGCATTTTCTATTTGTTTTCACACCGTGTACACACAGCCTGCGGTTCACTTCAGTTCCTTAATTTTTGTCATTGGACTGTCACAGAGCAGTTCAAGGACCTTTGGAGAGCTGAAAATCTGATGATTCTTTATGTTTTTACAGTTTCTGGCAATGACAGACGGTGTCATTTGTTGATGTGCCTTTCAACCCTGTCGGAGGATTTTAGGGTTCAGCAGGTTCATATTCCAAAAATTACTTAAGACTCTACCTAAAAACTCTAATGCTAATCTGTGTCATTACTATTTTTTGGGCACCGGATTTGGAGTCAAATGACTTAATATTTCAATGCTACTGTCTGTCCAAAGCCATACACAGTAGCAGTAATCTAAAAAACAAACACTAAATAGGTATGTCTTATTCCTTTCTGCTTTTTCAGAGGCTGTGGTCTATATCTATCTACATACAGCCTGAACACAATTCAGTCACTGTCTTCTCTGATATTCCCTGAGCATCCAGCTATGAGCCAAGCTGCATTTACCCCAGAACTAAAAGGATCTCCAAAGGGAAAAAAAAAAAAGCGAGCCGGCAGACATCCTCGGCCTTCTGTTTCAGGGTCACTGGCAGTGTTGTCTGGATTGGCTTTTGGAGGTGGCAAAAAGAAGGGCAAAGTGGGGTTGGAGGGGGTACAGGGTGGTTAGACACGGTCTACTGAGTTTCTCCTTACAGCTTGCCTTTCCCGCTCCACGAGGCTGAAGCAGGGGAACAGTAAACCAGAGGTGTGGAGACCTCTGCAATCAAACATGTCAGTGCCTGAGGGAATGCTAATGTTATTGCCCAAAAGTTATAGAAGGAAACCGTGTGACTGAAGTAATAACACTAAACCCGAAGAATGACATTTAATAATCAGATGCTCACTTTGGAGCAATGTTGTGATGATACTCAGTCGAAACCACAGGATGGGTAACCAGTTTCTTTCCAATACAGGCAGGAAAACCAACAATTTGTTGTTTTTTACTTTCTTTGATCATATCAACTTGAAGTATTTCGCATTCATCAACATGCAGCGTTTCTATATGGTAGACAGTTGAGCATTTTTTCAAAACAGGACAAATGACACAATTACAGACGCCGTTTCTCTTGGTTTTATATAATGTACTGCGGATTTGAATTTCTCTCCATACTTCTCTGCGTTTCTTTTATGGCAAGCGTCCTCTGAGCTATTTAGTATCGATGTTTACCCTTGGGATGATTGCTGCCCCTGCAACCTGACTGCCACCTAGCTCACCACAGCACTGCATTTAAGTCACAAATAAACGCACATCTTAGTTTCTGTATCAGTTGAAAAAGGGGGATGAATAGTGAATCTAACTCTAAAAATCAGTGTGATTGGCCTAAAGGTACACAGCAATGCAATTACTGTTATTTCCAACACTTTCAAGTCTGTGTCAGTCCTTATTCTGTAGTGGAGAGAGGCAATTAGCCTCGGGAATTGTCAACATATTTCCAAGGCGAGGTAAAGAGGACAAGAGGTAACAATCGCTCCAGCTGCTTTTCCCTGCTCCCTGTATAAGCCGCATCACTCACCTGGCACGTCGTTCTTCTTCTCCTGGTAGACAGTGCAGGTGAAGGCGTATCGGAGGGCAATGGCAGCAAAGAACATTTCAATGCAGATGATGAAGTTTTGCCAGCCTGCTGCCACGGTGCCGGCGCCGACCTCGTGTCCCTCGATGAAAAGCGCGTTGGGAATGACACCGCAGCGCTCCAGGATGGCGAGGACCATTCCTACGGAAAGGAGCAACATTTTCTCTCTGAGTTTATAGACGCTGGTAATGAATGAAAAAAAAAAAAGAGGAGAGGCAATCTTACCTTGCCAGAAGGATAGGAAGATGACGGATTTAATTGTGAGAAATTTGAGCACTGGTTCATAAGGCCTGAGCAGGTCACTTGTTGCGAAGAAGAAGAGGAAAAGAGCGTAGAGGGCCAGGCTGACTGAGAAGTTGTAGATGATTGTGATATACAGGTATCCTCCGTTCACACTGCACAGAAAAAGAATTGAAAGATGGTGACTTTACAAACTTGAAATCATGTGTTGGTGATCAACATAACATGTCTGCATACTGAAGGTTCCTTAAGTTTCTTGATAGTAATTACTTGTTCAGTTTTGATTCCATTTGTAACTTAGGGCTGAATAAAAAAAGACTGCTTAAGTCTGATGATATATCAGCCATATTGCATGAACAGCAGGCATCTTTTTGTCATCTTCTTTAAACAAGAAGTTAAAGCTCGTTTGTACAAGGTCCTCTTATTTCCAGGATTCATCTGATAAACAGGCAGATATCTATATTTGATTGTCAGTCCGCCTTTCCACCCTTTTCGCATTCTAGAGAGCCTCTCTGAGGACTCAGCTGTGACTACACTAATTACTCCCATGCAGTACAGAGTGCATGGTTGGCTGAAAGCGAATAAGTAAACAATCTGTGAATCATCGTGGTCTTTGCTGCGGCGCTTAAAGAAAGCCATGAAAAAAAGGAAAAAAACAAAAAAAACTTTTATTTCTGCCTGCTAATTTTGCTGTTGAAGTATATGGGAAAATAAGAGGAAGCATCAAATAAAGTCTATCGTTTAGCTTGACAGTAAGAGGGTGACAATATAAAGCTGATTGGAAACTTCAGCATGCAGCTCTCATTGAACTCTGTGCTTCCTCTGAGTAGTTTTGAAACAAGTGTTGTCACAGCTGAATCCTCAGAAAGAGACACTGAACGGAGAGGCGGAAGAAGAGCACCTGAAAAGAAGTCAGGCGGAATTTATGGACTGCAGATTTTTATAGCGTTTGATTTTACGCTAAAGACACTTTTATTCAATATATTACCCTCTTCGTATTCTGTTGAGACCCTTACCGGCTCATGTGAAGCACTGAGATACACTTGAATTAAATTTATCAGTCTGCAATTTAGCCCCAGCCTTTGTATCACTTGACATACAAAAGCAGAAATATGAAATGAAGTAGTGCCGCTCTTCTTAGAATTCGCCTAGTGTAACATATGATAAGAATTAAGAGGCTTCATTTTAAAACACTTACTACCATTGGGGAAAAAGTGGCAATATAAGTTCTTCAGCCCTTATTGCAAAAACCCTTTGAATTACTTGTTGCAATATGAACAATACCCAAGAAGCTGAGATTATGGCAGTGACAGTGACACAACTGGGACAACATGCAGCAGAGTACCTGCAAAGTTTGAACCCATCACTTTTAACTCCAACTAATCCAGACATTTTTCACCGTGCCGACTGTGAAGAGGTGATATAATTATCTGCATTTCCAAATTGTTTCCATGTGCGTGTAAACAGCAAACAAACCTCCTGGCAATGACGTGGATGTGTACGATACATAAAGAATGAAATGCAAAGAGAGGTGCTGCTCACTTAAAATCTCCATCGTGATATTTGCCAAAGGCCTGCAGGATGATGGTGATGGCTGCCATGATGGGTTTGACAACGCAGAACTGCAGAGTCGCCTGGAGAACACATTACAATTCAGAGTGAGACATCGAAGAGACGACAAACAAGGACACCGAGAAGGAAGAGGACGTCAGAACCTGTTTGCACATCTAATTAGACGGGAAAGATTTGTGAATGTAAGGTGTGTATTTACAAATAGTGGTAGTTTTTACCTCTAACCATCAGAATGCTTTTTTATTTTTTTTTTTTACTGTGTATACACTCACCGCACAACAAGCTTATTCCTTTTCAGTACAGATAATACATTAACTTAATACAGTGGAACGGCTAACCGGTCTGAAAATGACAACATCCATCGACTAGCACAACTCAGGTTCACTAATAAACAGGTTAAAAGGCGATTCCCTGTTTTATGAGGGGTTATGTGTTGGATTATTTCTTGGCTCTGAGCAGTAGCTTCCTGGAATCTTTGATGCTTGTCTGGCAATTGCTCAGAGCCAAGAAACTGTCCGGCAACAACACCTCAATGGAAAGCAATTTTTTTTTTTTTTTCAACTCCAGTTTCCCCGTAGATGGAACGATTCCAGTTTGAACTATTGCTTTAACACAGAGACCTAAAATACTGAAGAAAAATCGTTGTAAGCCATGCAATGCATTGTTTTTTTAAAGTGGCTTTGCCTTCAAATGATCATCGTAAACCCGGAGACAGTGACGTGTTAATGTTGATGGGACAACAAAAGATGGAGGCTCGCATGGATATATAACTGTAGGACAGGTGTTGTGTACTGGAGCCTGACCTAACCAATCGGACAGGCTGCTCCAGACTCCCATCACTGCTGCAGTACTTCAACTTGACCAGCCGAGCGGGCTTGGGAAAATGGCAGCAACGGGTCATTTATAGTACACATTCACTTAGAAGATTTTAGTACTAACAGTCTCTACTTACTACTCTACTATTGTTCGACCGCCAGACTGTCACTCTGAATATCCTCAAAGAAAATATTTTGCTATGACACTACCTGACATGCTTGATATTCAAAACACAACGCACGCTCATAATGGCAGCGGATTAGAAGTCAACCAGGGTTTCTGCCTCAATTTAATTCAGAATCAATTACTGCATCCATGTAATCAAGGGTCTTTAGAGACCTAGTAATAAACTTTAATCAAGCTAAGCCACACGGCATTTCATGATACAAATGTAAGATAGCAGGACATTTCTATTTCTACATGCATGTCAGCTGTGTGACTAGCAACTATATTGAAAATTTTAGTGCATCAGAGGGTTATGTGTTGCCACACTTGACTTTTTCCATTTTTATGAGCAACCTGTCGGCATTTTCCATGAAAATTAACCCTCTGAATTCCCAATCCTGCTGGCAAGTTTGAAAGGCAAGTTACCACCAAAATTGCACCATTTATCAGAGCTAGAAACTGTAAAAACAGAAACAAATTTGTCAGATTTTCAATTTACTGTTGGTACTTGAACTAATCTGCGATGTGATGTTCTGTCAGGGTGCAGAAATAACCTTAACTGTGATATTTCATCAAAAATCAATGTATCCCACGTGGCTCATGTAAGAAAACAAACTCATCAATTTTACATCAAATTCTGTAAATAAAAAAAAAAGAAAAGATTCTGGGCTTCTCAGTGCAACCATGAAGTGATGAGTGACTCAGCTGTGACCAAAAGTCATATGACGAAAAGGCTTTTCGGCTGAACTGCAGGCAGTGTTAACACAGAGCAGATGAGAGACAAGGACAAAAACAAAATAAAAATGTAAGCAGCAAAACCTCAATAGCATGTGGAACAACTGTGTTATAACGCCAACTCTGCTGGACTGCACAAAGGACATTTTTGAGATATTTCTACTTCCAGCCATGGTTGTGTTGTTTCCATGGAAGTGTAGGACTTTACATTGCAATGAAAAATGAGCCCACAGTGAGTGAAAATGGGGCCACGTAGAAGCTGTTTGGGGTTCAGAGGGTTTCATAAAATCTCATTGAAAATTCACAGCTAGAAATGGCCTGAAGCATTTTTATCAACTGTCAACAAAGCTCATTGTTAAAACAGCAACATCGCTCTAATTACTCTATTGCAAACATGGACTGTATATGAAAAACTCATTAGCATGAGAATTGCTGTTTTTAAGCCTCGAGTTTGGCTTTGGAAACCAGACGTAATGAATGAGGGATGAATTTGACTGAGAACTGAAGGACACTGTACGAGACACTATGAGCTGATGGAGGGGCATCAGTCAATAAGCGTCCATATAGCAACGCTCTAGAAGATACCCGGCTTTATCATCTAATTTGCTTTAGTTTTATTGTCTATTTTACTTGAGGGCATGAATTCATAAGTACCATGCAACAAACTAAGGGTCAAGTACAGTCATCGTGTCAGACTTCCATTGAACCATACTTCTCTTGGCAACCAGAGGAGTCGCCTCCTGCTGGCTGTTAGAAAGGATGCAGGTGTAAGGCACTACCATGTTTGCTTCACTTAACTTCTATATACAGTATGATTACAAACAGACCTCCAAAACTCTTCAGAGCGGCAGTAGTTACTCATGAAATCTACTGCGTGTATCAGACCTGCTGATTCATACTTTTCTCTTTTTGCTGCTACCCATCACTCCTGCATCTTTAATTTCTGAGAACTCTGCGATCTTTCCGATAAAATCTCTGCTCAACATCAAGTATTTCTTAATAGACACATCAACTCCTGTTGTATTTCTACTACTGTTTTTTTCTTTTTCCTGCTTTTGAAGGAAGCAAGAAGAGTTCTTGTAGTCGGCCATTGTTTAAACCAGCAGTACCTGATTTTTAAAAAAAAATTTTCCCCTCCACCCACTTGGGAGCACGGTGTGAACACATCATTGACATATCAGCAACAGCTGCTGTTTATGCATCCAACAGTCGTGTAGCAGCATCACCATTCATTTGGAGTCGTGTGTCTGGTCATGTCGAGAAGCTGCGTCCAACATTCAGCCTTTTTTTTCCAGCCGTTTTTAAGTGTCTACCAGCTCCTGAGGGAAATAATTGGCTCTTTCACTGCTAAATGCTGCACCATCCTAAGCAGCTCGTCACAAACTGTGTCCGTTTGCATAACAGCTGTGGCAAAAAAAAGACAATGCAAACAAAAGAGCGATGGGAGTGAAGAAAAAAACAGTTAGGTTGCAAAATAATAAGCTGAAATGTGCAAAGCCATGGGAAGCTGCAGATTCATGTTATGATGCTTTATTATTTATCAATATAAGCAACCCTACTGACATTTTAAAATTACATTGCTATTCGGTGTATTGTTGGGATAAAAATATCAGTTCAAGTATCACCTACTTTCTAATTCAGTATTCCCATATATACCTATAATATAATTGAATTTGTAGCAGCCAGTTTACGCTACCAAAACTGCAGTACCCAGGCAGTCACACCCATTTGCACTTAACGGTTTATTAATTTGGACACAAAATGGCCATCACAGGCACAACAGCTGTCCCTGGGCGCCACGAGATTCCCACTTGTACCCAGTTTTATGAAAATGATTCCCTGAAGCATCCCACGATATGATAAATGACTTATAACTGAAATGTCAAAAAACAGTTTAGGATGTAAGAGCAGCTTATCCTCTAACCTTATCTTCAAGAACCAACATAACTCTAGGCTGCTTTTCCATATCAGTGATTCATTTGTTAAGCCCTCTTCTAATGACACAGCGAAGCTTCCCCGAAACGTGCAAAGAATTTTAATGCTTTTTACCCTCCAAAAACGGATCAAGGCCTATCAGATCTTGTGCTCTGCCAGTTTTAGTACTCTGTTGCAAGGAGCCGTTGAAGATATTTTAACTCACCTCACCTCAAATTCTCTCCCGACGAGAACACACCGGTGTTTTCTTACCCCAAATCACAACATTATGTGATTAGTCTAGAGTATATATAGAGTGCTTCAGTGATTAGTTTGAATGAATTAACATGTATGACAGCAAGTGTTAAAATCACTTCAGTCTCGACCTGCAAAACAACATTTAATTCCTAAACTGCTCAATATATTGACTCCTGAATGTTGAATGAATGTCAATGAGAATGGCCCATTTAAAAAGCAGGGCAATAAAAACTTTATCTACTACAAAACTTTCACAACATAAACTCTAACCGACAAAACGACACAAAAATGATTAGAGTTTTAGTGCAATACTCCTGTGTAAAATCCACAGTGCTGATCTTTAATCGTTTTCTCATTCGCCACCAGAGGTTTTTCTTTTAAAGCACTTCACGTAAGGTTCCTGTTGAGGCACATGGAGTGTTTATCACTCTGTTCTTTAAAAAAAAAAAAAATCATTTCACCATGTATTTTGTTTTGAAGTCATAACTCTCAGTTTCAATATCCATCAGTGTTACTGGAAGCTTGTGCAGCATCCCAAGACACTGGAAAGGAGCTCTGCGCTGACAGCTCATATCATCGCTCTGTGTTTATTATCAAACTGTTTTCACCTGGCCTCAATTGCTTTTGTTTTTCCTTTTTTTTTTTTCTCTCCCTTGTACCCCTTTTTAAACCATTGGATGTTATCCCCTGAAAAGCACACAGTCAATTATAACAGCTGTCATTTTAAAGCAGTCTGGGGACCCTGGGCAGAATGGTAATTTACATCACGGTATTGTTTGTCGGTTTATTTATTTATTTCATAATGACAATTTGATGTGTTCTTGTTTTCCTTCTGTGTCTGTTTGCATCGGTGGTCAAAAGGAGCATCTCCAGAGCAGAGATAAGGAGATGACTGAAGCTCACCTGTTTGCAGAATCTTAAAAAGCCGATGGAGTAGCTCATTCCGACGAGGCAGCATGTACCGTAGAGACAACTTGACCTGCGAAGACAACGGGAGGAGATGAGTTACTGTGTGATGTCAATGCTGGAAACATCGGGTAACAGAAATGAGTGTGAGCCTACAAACTGTATGCAGAATAGGGATTCATGCTTAATAAAACACATTCATTAAAAATGTTTAGTTTTTGTTGATATTAGACCTCAAATAAGCTACTTTGAGTCATTTTTCAAGCACCACAATTCAGAAATGTGTACATTTTAGTGTCACTGCATTGGTTTATGTCACCTTGGACTGAGAGAAACTGTGATGAGCACTTGGCTTTATTTTTTTAAATGAGCTGCTGATAAAACGATAATAACAAACATGCTTAAAGTAGTTGCACCACTTCTTGACATCCCTGCTTTAGTTTAAGAACGATCAGTTTAAAAATAGTCACGGCCATAGTTCATGCAAAGCTATAAAAGTCTAACCTGTAAGATGCTTGTATCATATTATGCGTAATCAAGAAAATCCTTGATGCACATCCAATAAACTTGACTTTAATTATTTTATCTAACATACTGTATATATACACTTTACATTTGTATATACGTATGTAGAGCACAACATCAATATTACTGCTATTTCATGTGCTCATGGTTCATATGTGACACGTACACGAGGTCATGTCTTGTAGATTTAAAGCTGGACTGCTCTGACAACATTAAGAAACTGAACGAAAACTGCTAAATTAGACTTTTTCTTAAAAACACTCTTATATGAGTGTATTCGGGTAACTCATTGTTACTATTATTTGTTAGTATTATCGCTTAGTCATTGGTGTTAGGAGATGTGTTAGGGGTTGGAGAAGGCAGACGGATTAAATAAAACTGGCGAGAAAGACTGGGCTGTGCTGCAAGGCTGAGCACGGAGGCAGCGGCGGAGGAAGATTAGGACTAAACTCAGCCTGATCCTAAACAACAGCTCACAATCAGTCAGGTGCAGCTACAGAGCATTCTCCGCCTCACTCACCTCAGGTGCTGTTCGCAGCACTTTAGGGGCTTTTCGTGCTCTTAACCATCAGATTATACAAAAGAAATTGTCTCGTTTTTTGAACAATACTTCATTATTTACTTCATGTCTGTGCCTCTAATTGATTTACTTTGTCTGTTTTCCTGCAGATACGTAGACAATGCCATAGCACTACAAGGCAACCAGATTACTTGCAAATAAGAGGATGGGCAGTCAAAACAAATTCAAATTGAGATTTGCCTGTAGGCCAGAAATGGTCTTTACTGTTCTCTGCCTTGATTCCTACAAACCTTGTCTGTATCTAAGGTGTATTTTCACACTTAACATGGTTTATTAATGAGACTGCCTTATTAAACTTGATCTGCTGTACATTAGAATAGGACTGGGTTCAATGTGCTACTATTTAATTTCCACTATCATAACAAGCAGATTATAATAATTTTGTGTACACACAGACAACATGATTTAATGTATCTGCCATGTCGTTAATTAAAACACATTCTACTTGAACCTAACTGGGATGAGTTATGCTCTAACTTGAAGAGACAGCGCCTTTGGTCAAAAATCACTTGCTGGGAATTTCTCACTGACTTACGAATATGATGTGATGTCTGTGGAAATCCTAAAGGATCAGTAAAAGCAAAGTGAACATTTTACAAACTAGATGTACACCATGTATCTTCTTTCTGCTTGCTGGTGTCAAGCTGTGGCATCATTCATCACGACTCAACATCAGTGTCTGTATTGTCTCATGAACGAGGCAAAGAGCCGCTGCCCTGTGGCTGAGTCAGCCATAAAGCACAGCCTATAAAGACTGATCAAAAGCTCAGATATAGAGGAGAACTGTCACCTACGACCGACTGTGTATTGGCAGCACTTCCGCAGCGGTGTTCAAACCGAGTGCTAATTCAAGGCCAATAAATGCCCTTTGGACCTTTTATGATCATAAACATAAAGGAAAAACCATACCACAGTTGTTCCAGTCAGGCTGAAATGTTTTTTTTTTTTTACTTCTGAGTCAACATATTATTTAACAGAACTCTTTCAGTCCAGCATGTACATTTATCACTCAGCTGCATGTGAAAATGGGCTGAGAGCACTCACTGTATGGGCTTCCCTCGGATCTCTGACATGATTGCACTCTCTCCTCCCAGATACTCAAAGGACAGGCTCAGGAAATTGTAAATGACAAACGCTGTAACACAAAGAGAAGAGGTTTTTTCTTTTATTATTAACCCAATATCAAACTGATTTCATGCCTTGATTTTAACTGTAGAATAATTTCTCATCACCTTCAAGTATAACTTCACTGACAAGGTCAAATCATTTAAGAGGAAAAAAAAAACTTCCACATGATAAAAATAATTAGTCCTACATTTTGGAACAATAAACGTTTCAGTCCTTACATTAAGAAGCTTCCAAGGGTTCTGTGTCTTGGAAATCCCTTCCTAATCCTTTGTTGCTATTTAAGGAGGGATTAAATGAAGCTAATGCAGATGGTGTCCAGTCAAGAGAAGGTTCATTATGTTTTAGCTGTAGCCGCTGGTGGTATTCTAGTCTCAACTTCTTTCGGATGCACTGCACTATTAATCAGCCACAAAATTGGCCTGCAAACTGGCACCTAATCTCCTGAATAATGTATTTCCTATTTTCCCCCCAAATTACTTGTAATCCATTTTTCATATCATTCACCTTTGCCACTGGTGAAGTGCGCTGGTCTTCAAACTTCAACGCGTAATTATTGTTGCACTGTACAAAGGCAATTAAACTGCAGTCTAGAGAACAGGGTCTAGATTATAGCTGCATGCTGAAAATCGTTGAACAAATCTTGCAATGAATCACCCTAAGTTCTGTTCAACAAGCACAACAAGAAAGGAGAAGAAAATGGATGCTCCTAGAAATGTAACACCTCCAATAATGAGGGTTACCTACATGAGCACAATGACTGCTGAGAAAAACTAGTTTGGTCACTTCTTTAGTTTTCTCCCCCCCGGCTGCCATCTGACATATGAGGGCAGGAAAACAACAGCGACGGCTCAGAAAGGAGACTATCAGGCAGATTATGTAGGGCTTGGGATGCTTACCTTCGTAGCAGTCTCGAATGGAATCAAAATAGACATAATACTGGTCGTTGCTGATGAAGAGGAGGCTGAGCCAAGAATCAAAGGCATAAATTGGCACAATAAACAGGATGCGGATGATGTAGCGCTGCTCGTTAGGGACGGTGTAGGATCGAAGGTGTGTATAGATCTACAATGAAAACATGGAGAAAGCAGAAAAAACATCAGGGAAAAAGAAAAAAAAAAATACGACCTTGTTAAGCACTGTCACAAAATCATAGAGCAGACTTAAATAACACGGTACCTTACTTCAGCTCATGATGTGTCAGATTAAAATTATGTAATGTAGCCTTCATATAAATACATACAAAAGTAGCCTGCTTTTACTAGGCAACGGAACTACGGCTACGAACATCAGGAAGGCTGCACAACTATTCTCATTATTAATTATTAACTCAAGGTATTATTTGACAAATCAATAAAAAGCCATTTTAATTTCCTAGTACCCAAGGTTCAAACTGAGAGTGCACATGAAGAACTGTTCCAAATGACAGATATTCAATTTGCATTGATAATAAACAGCCATGAAGAAGGAAATCCTCAGTTTACAAAGCTACAGCTAGAATACAGACTGTGTGGCATTTTCGTTAATTGCTTTTCAAACCTTCTCAAAATCGACTAATTGATTAATCAGTAAATCCTATAAGCTCTAAAGCTGACATTTGCATCTTTGCAGTTTTACAGATGAGTAATGTTATTAAAATAGCAAGAAAAATATGTGCACATCCTTTGGAATTATCTGCATTTATGACTAAATTTGTCTGAAAATAAGTAACTATGAGCAAAGATGTTGAGCGAATATGTCAAGGCTTGAAGTCAAGACTGAATACATCGTTCAAGCATTGACTCTAGGATAATGACATCGGCATAAGCATATTGGAGTAGGAAAGCTTGTGGGTGTGGGTTTCAGCAACTCAGAATAATAATAATAATAATAACAAAGAATAAAAAAACTGTTAACAAGAAGCATCTGCTGATAAAAAAAAAAAGACATTCAGAAGACGTGTGATCAAGAACTGCATTTGAAGAAAGCTGCAAAGGTTTACAAAGATCTCAGAGTTCATTTACTGATCAGTCCACAGTCAGACAGATCTTTAAATGGAGACGATTGAGTAGCCACTCTCCCTAAAGGTGGCCATCCAGCTTCAAAAGCAAAAAATGAGTTATAAATTATAAATGCTTGTGAGTTATTCGCCTAGGCACATTGCATTTGTCTATCACTGGGACTAGGATGAAGATCAGATCACAGTTTATGACCATGTTTGCAGCAGACCAAGTCAAAAGGTTCACATTGTTTTTCTTGCTATTGCATACTGGCAATTAACAGAACACATTCTTGTTTATTCTTGAGTATCCACAGTTTCAGTTTATGAGACACTCTTGGTAAAAGAAGGCAAAACAGTAGCAGTAATAACTGTGTTAGTTATATTTCTAAAGCACTGAAGTGATACATAAACCACAATAGTGTGAAGACTGTGAAACACCCAACCTTTAATCTGGATGGTATTATTTATGGCCACATTTTATCTTGCACTGACTTGTTCTGTCTGCCACTTTGAAATGCAGCAACAAGGTTGTCTAGAATAAAAGATTACCCAACTCCCAATTTAATGACCTCCCAGTGCGTTAGAGCTTCAAACTTACTGACCACACCTTACATTGTGCAGCTCTGACTTTCCATACAGCGGCAGATAATAAGATCAGTAAATAAACTTTGTTTCGCAGAGACGATAAAGGTCCTAACCTTTAGATTTAACACACACACAACTCTTCCACATGGCCTCATATGGCCTCTACAAATGTAATATAATGCAGCTGACAACCTTTAGAGAAACCAACACAGCTAACAGCGGACAATCCAGTGTTCATTGTTTTCAGTTTTTAGACCTGAATTGGCTCGACAATTTACATTTCTACACCAACAATGAGGAGTAACATTTAGGAATTACTCTGGAAAGGCACAGCTGTTGACGAGGCTGAGTTAAATGACGCGTTTTTCCATTCTAACCTCAAGCAAATGAAGTATGTGCAGTATGATCTGTATGTCAGCAGACTGAGATAAGCTTTCGACAGCATGAGGAAAGTTCAGTTAAACTTTCAGAGCTCTCAGGTGATGTAATGAGACCACATGACCATGGTGGCTAATGGCACCAACATGAACAAACCAACAACGGAGCTGTTGGGAAATACGAAAGAGAAATATCTCAGTAGTATATGTTATTGCAAATTTAATCTGCCATCAAATAACTTCTTCTCTGACTGATACTCGTAGGATCTCTTCAACTAAATAATTAGCGGATATAATTGAAAAATCTGACAAACTGTCTCTCCGATATTATTGTCCCTCTGAAGATGAATGCAGTCGTGCAGAATGAGCTCTTAAACTGTAGCGCTTCTTAAAGACCAAAGCATATTAGAGGAATATCATTGTGGTGCCAGAGACGATGGCAATCGTTTTCTAGTAATAACTGATGACTCATCCTTCATAAAAAGACAATTTAAAAAAGGACTAGCCAACTGAAAGTTTCTCAGTCGACCAAGCTGCTTATGACTCATTAGTCAACTAATTGTGTGTGAGGGGCAATCCAAGTAATTCACACTGAGCTTGAAACGCCATCGACTAATAACCATAACTCTCTGAGGAGACATAAAATAAAAACAACATCACTTCAATATTCAAATTGTACTTCATCCAACAACCAACTCACTATAATTACAATTTGTAGAAGTGCAATGTCATCTGAAGCAGAATAAAATCAGACAGCCTCTTTTCTTAATATTCTGTTCAAGTCTTTATTCGCACAATATAATAATATGTTGAATATATTTTTCTTTTTCAGGCTTTTTAAAATCATCTTGGGTTGCAAGCTGAATATCTGCTAGTTTTATACTTAGGATTTAGGAAACTGTGGTGGGAATTTTCACAATTTTCGATCATTTTAAAGACTAATCAAATGGAAAAAAAAAATAAAAATCATTAGTTACAGGCCTAAGTTCAACTTCAACTAGAAAAAAAAAATACCGCAATAGAAAACATTAAGTACTTTCTCTCTATAAATTTCGCCTTTATTTTTTGCATCCCATTTGGTTGCAGTTCTATCCCAAATATAATCAAAACACTGAAGATGGCTACTATGGTGTTTATGAAAAAGTCCCACCTGTATATAGCAATAGGTGTGCTTGAAGGTTTTTTTGCTGTCCTTTGAGAAATAAGTGAAAATTCTAATTACTTTAAAACTTCTCAAAAGTCCACCCATTCTGTCAGTATTCCAAGCAGTCATTAGAATAATGTTTTCTTGGTGGGCTTTTTTGCACTATATTAATGTTAAACATACCATCAGCGGCGTTTTAAAATTTTAAATGTTTTTAAACGACTGCTCAACGTCTCCACTCGACACATGCAGCTTGATTAAATGCCCATTAGAGGCTGCACATTAAAGCCTGATTACCGTGAGGGTGGGGGTGGGATGGCCATCTCTACATGTGAAGTGAAGCAGAATGCAGACTGATGCCCTCCATTTGCTTGAAAACACAGAAAAACCCATGCTTTTCCTGACAGGAATTCATATTTGTATGCTGAATGAAAACCCAAGTAAACCTCACTGAGACTTATTTGTGCAGTTTTTGCTCTGACACTAGATTTAAGAGCAAAGGCAAACGCATATGTGAGAACATTAATAACCTAAAACAGAAGCGAATCTACGTATTGCAAGTAAACACTGGTGCCATTTGCAAAACATAATACAGCCGTACAATAGGAGATAAGTCTATTCTGTTGCTCTTAATCCCAAATGCTTCAAGTTGCACAGGGACCAATAAGCCCACCACAGTAAAAAATGAACCACACTCCACTGATTACTAGCGCGAAAAGCACCGGCAACATTACAGCAAAGAGGATCTAAGGTCATTGTCTATCTGTGTTTGGTATTCAGAATGTGAGTTTAAAAGTCTATAGCAATCCTCTGGAGTCGGCTCAGATGAAACACCAGCAGCATTGCAACACTAGTCCTGCAGACCATTTTATTCTCCCCGTGTGACAAAAAAGATGCCTGTTGGAAACCTGCTCCACTCTCCCTGCGGAACACTTGCTATTTATTTGTTCAATTAAAATGTCTTGCTGGCAAGTGTTTTGGCCAAACACGTACTATATTAAAAAAGATAGAAACCAATTTGCAGGATATTGAGTCACAACTCCCAATACGGAGATTGTTTTTTGGATCACTGCATGCAACACGTTGATGCATTGTGAGCGTGTCAAAAGGCTTCCCGAGCAACACAAACAACAACTCTTTAATTAATTACGCGACACACAATAAGTTGCACGGGTGTGCTAACATAAATGTGGGTGTAAAATCCAGCTGAAAGATGGACGCACAGCTGGTATTTGGATTGTAAAATCATTAACTAAATCTGGAACTATTACAGCTACACAACATGAAAACCACGTTGAACAAGAAAACAACCTCATCCTTTATAACGCCGTAAACGTTATCTCAATATCAATTGATTTCCCTGCTGATAACACACAGCACCCTTCTGCATTCTCTGCAAATGATAAAAACCATAATGATAAGCTATCATCTCCGCACAGCATGTAACGCGCCCACGCCAGAGGAAACACTTATTTACAACCGCGAGGAAATGGTTTTTTGGTAAAGGTGGTCTGTGTTGAGCCATTTAGTTCTTCCTGGCCATCTTGCTGTGTATTTCATTGTCCTATAATCAGCTAGGGGGATTTTTTTTTGTCAATTTTAATCTGATATTAAGCAAGCAAAACATCCCCACAGTGCAGCGGGGGAATCATTCAAAGCAGGGACATTAAAACCTGCCTAGATTTTTTTTGTTTTGTTTTTAAACCCAGAAACAAATACTTTTAAAACTAGCTAAAGTATCAGTGTGTGTGTGTGTGAGAATAGGAAGCCGAGACACTATATTCACTGCACTGGAGCTGTAAACTAATATGGATATAGGAATATGTTTCTGTCCTCTGGCAAGGGAGGTGCAATCTGTTGGTCCCTAACCATCTCTGATTACACATTTACATCACTGAAAGCTTTGAGGCTGCGTTACTCATTACATGCAATGATTTTCGTCTCTTCAGGCTTCGTTATTCATGTGTAAGTGCTCTAAACTCACCTGGTGGCATGTGATGAGCAAGGCAGACCACACGAATATCCCTGAGAGGGCCTGAGCGGTCATTGTGTTCAAAAACATCTCATCCACGATGGACCCGTTGCTTGTTCGAATGATGGTCATGTTGGAGATGTCTGACTTGTCTGGGAGAATTGGTGCAGCCAGGTGCACGATGGAACTGTTGTCAGCCGATGAATCCATGGCTTCGAGAGAAATGTTCATATGAAAAAGAAAGAAAACAGAAGAAGTCAGTGGGAGGCTTTCAGGTAAAATGTAAGGAGCACTTCCTTCTGAATGAATGTTACTGTGAACAAGATAAAAAAAAAATACAGATTGCTTGTAAATAACAAACTTACTTCCTTTATTTAAAGGAGGACACACATACTTTCCTACAGTCAACCAGCAGCTCACCTTGTCCAGGAGAGACAGGAAGCAGCTTTATCCCGTTTGAACACTGTCCACAAAGAGTCCAGGGTTGTCACAAGCTAACGTTACAGGATCAACACTGAGTATAAGGACGCCTGTGTTTTTTTTTTTTTTAGAATAAAGCAAAGAGGGCATTCACTGCCATTTACAAACGGCCCGTCGACTTCATCCGCGGAGGACTCAACAGCCTAGACTTCCTTGTTTGAGACAGGTGCCTCACCGAGGTCGAAGTCCGCACAGTCAGCGGGCAAAAAGTCAAACAAAAGCTGTTAGAAAACATTCAAAAACTGCGGTAGAGTGTGTCGTTTAAGCTCCTAAACGAGAAGAAAAATGCCAAAAGTTTTAGAAGAAACTGTGCGTGGTTGAGCGGCGACGCGGTGAAGCAGCAGAGATAAACAGGTTGGGCACAGGTGGAGGAGTCACGTGGCCTGGGCTCTGCGTGTGTCGTCATCACGTTGACACACCATGGAAAGATTGCGCTCATCCTCGACTCTGACATTAAACTATAGCTTTCATTCTGTTCCTAAATATTTATCTTTTAGTATTTTTCCCCCCACTTACCTTAATCACAGCATCAAACAAGAAAGAGGAAACATTTCAAACTCTGGAATCAAGTCAAGGTCAATAAACACCTGAGTAAACAGGTTACATAAGCTTTACAAGGGTAATAGGGATCTGTCATGGACTAAGATCTACACAGTCGTGTATACCTATATGAGTTGAGTTGTCAGTAAATAATCAGCTTTAATTTTAATATTAAATGACTCTATCACCCAAATTTCCAACTTTGCAAATATTTTCTGCTCTGATATTAATCTGAATACTCAGTGGTTTTGGACTGTTGGTCTGGAAGGCATCACTTGAACATTTCTCACAACTTTCTGACATTTTACGACGAATTAATTGAGAAAATATTCATATCAATTGCAAATAGAAATAAACATTATTTACAACCCTGGAATCTACACTGAGTTTGCTTAATGTTTTATGAACAAATACAGTCATCCTCAAATTTATTGATACCCTTCCATTAAAGAAACAACAAAATTCACAATAGTCACCCAAATAACTAGAAAATGAAAAAGTCATAAAAAATAAAAAAAAAATTGCTGAATTAAAATTTAGTGAAATAAGACATTGCTTCTGAATTGTGGTTGAAAATAATAATAAAAAATAAAAATTAAAGCACTTTGCTGATGGGCCAAAACACCTGTCAACAGGTGCAGAAGTCTGATTGAGAGTTACAGAAAAAACCTGATGCAGTGATTGGCTGAAAGGGTTGTTCTGTTGTTTCTGTTGAATCACAATTCAAAAGCATGATTTTCATTACATTTCTATTTATTATTACTTTTGTCAATTTCAACTTATTTCAGTGACAGCTGTTTTTTCTTCTTTAATTGGAGGACATGAATACATTTGAGGACGACTGCATATCAGTTGCTTGTCAGAAAATAATCAGCTATAATTTTAATATTAAATTACTCTATAGCCCAAATTCCCAACTTTGCAAATGTTTTCTGCATGTCTTCTGCTAATAATCTGAATATTTGGTTTTGGACTGTTGACCTAAGACAAGACATCTGAAGGCATCACCTGTGACATTTCTCACAATTTTCCTACATTTATTAGGCAAACAACTGATTGAGAAAATATTCATCCATCCATCATCTATACGCTGCTTAATCCTCACTAGGGTCGCAGTGGGCTGGGGTCTTACCCAGCTGACTTAGGGTGAAGGCAGGGGACACCCTGGACAGGTCACCAGTCTATCACAGGGCTACACTTGGAGACAGACAACCAAGCACATTCACACCTACGGACATTTTAGAAACACTAATTAACCTCAATGTTGGACTGTGGGAGGAAGCTGGAGAACCCGGAGAGAACCCACACTGCACAGGGAGAACATGCAAACTCCACGCAGAAAGATCCAGGATGTCCTCACCAGGATCTTCTAGCTGCGAGGCAACAATGTTAACCACCACGCCACCTTTCAGCCCAGAAAATATTCACACTAATTGAAAATGGAAATATACAAGAATTTACAACCCTGAACTCTTTGCTAAATTTGCTTAACGTTTCAGAAACAAATGTGAAACTAACTCTGCTTCCCAACACCCTGGCCCCTTCATGAAACAATCTCAAACAGAAAAAAAATCCAAATTAATCATACATGCTGTAAATTTACTTAGCCTTACACACCTACAAAGTTCTGAGGATGATATGCAGCAACGTTCTGCAAAGCTTATGCACACACACACATAAATATAGATATACCAGTGCTGACCTTGAATCCTGCGTCATCTCTTGAGGTGATGAAAGAGCTGATATAAACTGCTACTACACAAAAAGTTGCTCTGAAATGTGCTGAAAGGACTATTTTACTGTTTGACTGCATTGTCGCCTGTGTAAAAGCGCTATAATAAGATTAAATAAAGCAAAGGCCTCCGCGAGTCTGGAACGGTCGAGCATAAATTTTACATTTGAGAATATTTGTGATATCTAAAATGTGTTAAACCTAAACTATCCATCACTCGGGCTGAGATGGTCGAGCTGCATTTGTTAATGCAATTTAAAAAAAAAAAAAAAAAAAAGCTTCAGGAGCAATCTGTACATGGTGCTGTTTAAGAATTTATTTCCAAATTGTCCTCAAGAAACAAGTTAACATATTTGCATTCTAAAACACAAAAATAATGAGCAGTATGAAACATTTCAAAAACATTTTATACAGTGATGAAAGAGGACACACATTTTCAGACTGTGAGAGGACAGTTGGATGTAGAAAATCCTTCTTTACGAAAGCATGATGTCAAATGTATGTTTTCCAGAAGACATCTTGTACTTTCTCAGCAAATACAAAGGGTCAGAGGAAATGAATTTGGATTCACACACTTCTGTCTTGGAGCACTAGCCTGTTATTTTGAATTTAAACATTACTTTTGAGGATAAAGTTTGGTCTAAACAGAAGCAGCGGAAATTGTGACAAAGGAATATCCAGACGACCTGTACTTCACCAAATCCACAGGCTTTGTCCATTTGCATGACTTCCTACCAGACTTGACAACTTTTGATGACCTCTTTTATTTGTTTTATTGTGTCTATGGAAGAATCCTTTAGTGCCAGTCCAAGTAAAACGGGCCTGCTGCCAGCTTCTTGTGACACAAACATTCCCAAGTTTTTGGCGCAGACATGTGTCATTGGCTGAAAACAGAAACATAAATGAGACATCAGATTATCACACGCAACAAGGTTTTTAGAAGCAACAGTTGTTAGTCTTTACAAATATGCTTTAGCTCGAAGTTTATACCAAATAATTTTAGTAAAGTTTTCAAACACTGCAAGAATCATCTCCCTTTCTAGGCAGCAGAGAAAACTTTTCCAATCAAATGATGTGCTGTTGCCACTGCATATGTGGTAAATAATTTAATCTGCCTTTTCTGCCATGGAGCATTATTGGTTTGGGGCATATCATAACAAAACTAATTCATTTTTTTCAAGTTCTCCTAAAGTAAGCACCATTTGCACATATTACAATATGACTTGATTCCATTTTAATTAAATCACTGATGTGGCTATAGAATGTTATCTGGCAGCTGTACAATCCAGTAATCAAGACAATAACAGAGATAACGACTATGTGTGATGATGCAGTTATGCTGGTTCCCTCGTTTACTCTAAAGCTATTATTCCCTCCACAGGAGAATATAAGTATTGTCTTTTTAAATAACAAACAAAAAGTCTCGTCAACTTCACAAGCAAACTTTATATTAATCCATTATTCTATTGATGACACGTTCCCTGTGTTGTTTTCCTGTTAGAAAACGACAAGCTCATGCAGAGACAAAACAGCTTTCCTTGTGTAAATCTTGACAGACCACTGAACTCCACGCCTGCACACATTTAATTTCTCCACAATCTGCCAGAGCGGCTCAGAACCAATCTCATTTGCCCTTTCACAGCATGAAATGAGTTACCCTGCGTCGCAACAAGTCTCTCTGACGTACTGTGAACAAGTCCAGATCACACTGATATGATATTTATCTCAACAATTTTATCCAGCCTACCTCGTCCTTGCCCAGCAGTACTTTAGTGGAGAACGTTGGGGTGCTGATATCATTAGATCTGGAGTCAGGTGTGACAGATATCAACGTCCCAATTTTGCCGTACTGAGTGAGAACCACGAATATGTAATTACTGAACTCTGTGCAGATGACTTCTGTCGAAATTCCATTGACTTCTTTCTGCACTTGTCTGGATTTGATGATAGGCGCAGCCATTTTGTCAACCCTGGGGGAAAAAACAACAACATAGGAAACAGGATTATTTGGAAGGACAACACATACTCATCTTACTGTTGAAAAAATGACAGGATAAAAAAGGCAAGTATTTGTAGTTGCTACTCCTCAGTGTCTATATGATTGTTGCCAAGTTATTGATTGATAAGTCAATCAAATGTCCAAAAATCTAAACTGATGTATTTGTAATAGTATTGAAAATGACTAATATTCAAAGATTAAACTGTGGAAGACTAATCTTCTGTCGTGATGTCCTTGTTTAATCTGCTAAATCTATTAGGTCTACATATATTTTTTGATGATTTTCTATGAGCAAGTTAAGTTTTGTTTGAGTGCAAATGAAAGCCCTCCCTTACTTTTATATTTAAAACAAGTGTCTGCTGTGTGTTGCATCCTACTGATGATGTGATATTCAACTCAGCATGTCAGGGATGAGGATTTGCTGCTTTCGTGTGTCTGCTATTTCAAACTGAGTATCTTTGCGTTTTGGACTGTTGGTGGGACAACTCGAGGCAAATAAGACATCACTTTGACCATTAAAATGCCCCTGCATTACCAAAAACATCCAAAATAAAGCAAACTATAAGATTACTAGACTGTATGCATCACATTGTTAGCGGCTAAGTAGAAACAGCAAACGCTAGACGAATTTGAGTATTGTGTCCTACTGTCCTCACTAAAAATCCACACACCACCAGTAGAAAGACCTGAAGACTGATTATATCTGTAACTTTCCAGCAGGGTAGCAGCAGAGAAGCTCCGCAGAACTGATGCTGAGAGGCTAACGTTAGCTACACAGCTAATGTTAGCTCCCGCTGTAAGCTTAACGGCAGAAATAACGACAAACTCCGTTTTCCGTGTCTGTACATAAAGTCCTCACCGCGTGTCCTCGTCTGTCCAGAGTGTCAGCTATATTCAGCAGCGAAACCTGAACTTCCACCAACTTCAGCTGCTCAGTCATCAACTCTCCACAAACCGAAACAAATGTGCCTCGTTTTGTTGAGAGCACGCACGATGCGTGATGACGTGATCACGTCACCGTGCCCAACTTCCTGGTTGGTTTGTAGTTCAAAACACAAATAGATAGATAGAAAGAAAGAAAGAAAGAAAGAAATATACAGGTAATCACTATTTCATGAGGGAGATTTAAATTATGTTGTAAAATTATTAACTCATCACTTGCTACTTCCAGATTTGATGTATGACTATGTAATAAATATTTCCATTTATATTATTATACATACACCCAGGCTGCAGCAGTAACATTACTAATGGTCTATGTAATCTTAACCTTTCGATGACTGTATGACTATGTCTAATGTTACTTATACAAGACAAAAAAACCCTGAAAACTAAGCACATGCACTGTAAAACATAAATAGATTTAGTGAAATTAACTAATCGTTGTTTGTTTGCTTAATGCAGATATGTGAATTTTATTAACGGCCATTTAATTTAATTTTAATTTAATTTAATTTTTTTGTTTGGTTTTTTTAAATTGTGGACCACTTTAAACAGAAATTCTTACAATTTGAACCATTTTGATTTAGAATGAGGAGAAACAGGAATTAACAGCTGAGTGTCATTCAATTCACTTACTTAAGTTTACAAGAGACAAAACTAGCAGACAGTCAGTCTTCCCAAGATGTATTGTTAAAAGAGTTAAAACTCCTCAGAGCTTTATAGCCTGAGAAAACAGACATTGTGGAAACTTGCAATGTGTTAAACAAAGTTAGGGATGTTTCTGAATAGTCATCTAAACATTACTAATCATGACAAAAGCTCGTTTGGAATTCAGTCCCCCCCACCTGTTAATTTATTTCACTGGAACTGGGTGTTAATGTTAAATGGAGAAGAAATGTGAAAATAAAGCAAGTCTGTATTTCTATGTTAAGATATTCAACCTCATATCTTAAGTTTATTGCACATGTATTCTCAAATGTAGTTAATATAATTGTATTACTTTTTCACTTCCACATCTTATAAGATGACTTTAAACTAATTACTCAAAATTGGTGAAGTCATATTTTTAAGTCAGCGGGAGAGTCGACATTTCTCAACTGAATGAAATAAAATGATTTACAGACAAATGCTTTGGAATACTGAACGGAACTGGGTCATTTTTATTTCTTTGTAAAAACCAATTAAATCATGATAAAATGTACTGTGTGTTTTTGACACTTAATTGGCCCTACACTGTTACATGAATGTTTTTGTGATGGTCTGTTTTGAAAGTCCTACAAAAAAATCTGTGTTTAAATCAAGCTTTAAAAGAGCGGTTCCATTGTCACAATTCTCACAATAAAAGCTATCATAAAGGTCTGCTGAACAGGGCTTGTTTTTTTTTGAAAAACAGTCTTTTGAGAAAGACTTGTACCTTTTCATAATTACGTCTTTTTGATCCTTGGCATTGCTCTCACAATAACTTGCAAATTTGCCACATAAAAACACTGTGGAAAAGAAGTTTAGTTGGCTTGTATTTTTTTCACTCATTTGTTTTTGCCTGAAGTTTGCCACAGACTTGAGGATTAAAACTCTTAAAGAGCACTTTGAGTTCCTCTTTGTTTTTCTCATAAATAGAATTCAAGGTTCCAGCATTGTTCACTATGCATGATTATGCTTAATCTGCATAGTCATTTTCCCAGAAATGACTGCGATGAAGTGAGGATGATTTAACTGAACTTTTCATAAAGTCTAGCCTATTATCTACAGTGAATTTGTTTGAGTTTAAATTAAGCTCGTCCTCTGGCCTGGTACATTTCAATCAACATTAGGTAGCAGAAAGAGCTCTTCCAAAGCAAGAAACCACAGAGGCAGGATGTTTTTTAATTAGCTGTCAATGGAGCTTTAAAGAAGCAGATAAAGTCTTGTTTTTGTTTTTATTTTAATTCTCTTATTTATTTTGCAGTGGATTTTATTAATAAAAAAAGCTGCTTTACACTTCAGAATGAACCAACCCTTTGTGTGCTGAGGGGGCACTATGACATGAGATGACAACACTCGATAAGGATGGACAGTAGAATAACCTGCTTCAGTTCTTCCATCTGCAGGTGTGGGGATTTCTTTTGTTTTTTGCCAGAAATTAATGTCAAAGTAGTTTATTTAAATGTTCAATGTGTGATGAAAACCAGCTGCAAGCATGCTACCTTGACATTTGAATTGTATTCTCATTCTACATGTGCCATGCAAGGACAATTTAGTTGGCCTTTTCCAATTTGGGCCACAGATTAGCCAGCAACTGCAGTCACATTTGCTTTTGCAGCTTACAGTGGAGACGGACAGTTGAGGAATTCTCACTGTTATCAAAAGTGCTTGCATGACATTTTTTTCAGGTGGATGTGAGGCTCCACTGAAGTCTGCGAACGCTGCATCAGGCTGATTCGAAAGGAGCCATCCCTATGAACATGACACATTCACAATGTCAAATAGAACCGGCTCAGCGGAATTGTTATGCACTCTGAGTAGGCAGCAAGAGCGGTGGTAGGTATGAAATTGGTTGGACCGCTCTCTATACTCCCTGGCTGACCATCTGTGTCCTTGACTGATCATTCTGATCTAAACAAAATTGTAATGGAAATATCAATATACAATATTCCATTCTAATGTATGGAATCAGCTGGGCCTGTCTGCTGAATTTGTATGAGTTAGAAATCACCTCCGCAGCAAGAATAGAAGGCTCACAGTTTCAGAGTCTGTGATGTGCAGCAAGAGTCAAACAGGAATGGGGGGTGTCTTTGAAAGCTTTGAAAGTGCAGCTATTAGGGAATTCAGGCACATGTTCTCGTTCAGAACTGATAGTGCCTCTTTAATACTGGAATTAATCATATGAGTATAGCAGTTCAGCCTGATAACAGAAAGATATAACCTCCTATTCATGGCCAATAATGCAGCTGCAGACTATTCCGTCTCAGTTTGTCATCTTTCTGATGTCTTGGGAAAACCTTTGTTCAAGCTCACAAACAGTGTTTTTGTTGATTTGTTTTTTTTTTCTTTCATTCTTTATACACTAAGGCAACACCTCCGTGAGAAATCCTTTCATTTCTTCTCTTTTATTAAAGTTCACGCTTTATATTGTTGTGTTTCAAAGGTAAAAGAAAAAAGAAAAGAAAAGCGCATGGCAGATGAATACGTTCATCTGAGGTAGCAGCACATATATTGCATACTGTTACCTGAGACGTGTTATGTAGTTTACTGGCACGGAGACATGTCACCATTTACAATGACAAAGAGCAGCATGTCCCACTTTTTTTTAGACATTCTGGTTCAAAACACAAAGAACAGCTTTGTATCAGCTATATAGCCCTTTGCAATAGACTCAGTTCACATCAGCTGTCGTTTAATGGTATCTATATTTTCAGTCATGACTAATGTTTTTCTGTGATAGCAGTTTAAATATGTCCTTGGGGTCCATGTTATTTTAATTACCAACAGCTATGACATGAAAACGCAGACATGTGTATGCACGTCAGCTGTTGCTCAAAGACTAAGGAATATGGCTCACACCAGATTCTAGCTGCTCATGAGGAGGTTTTTATGATACAAAATACCACAGAGGCTTTGAAATGAGTTCTACTCTCAAATTACTCCCTCCATGTAATGTTTCGTTGTGAATTACAAGGGCCTTGCTTTGCATAATGAGTTACAATAGACTCACACAAATGGCTACTGTGGCTGTTGCAGGGTTTCAGGGGTACTTGCTGTTTCCAGGGAAAATGGAGAAGAGTTTAATTCATTGTAATGTGATTCATAGGAAGATAGCACTGGTTGAGAATAATTATAGAGGTTTTAAAAAAAAAAAAACAATTGCTGCCATTTTTCTTCTTCTTCTTCTATCCATCCATCCATTATCTATACACCACTTAATCCTCACTAGGGTCGCGGGGGGGCTGGAGTCTATCCCAGCTGATTTAGGGCGAAGGCAGGGGACACCCTGGACAGGTCACCAGTCTATCACAGGGCCACACTTAGAGACAGACAACCAAGAACACTCACATTCCCACCGACAGACAATTTAGAATCATCAATTAACCTCAACATGTTTTTGGACTGTGTGGGAGGAAGCCAGAGAACCCAGAGAGAACCCACGCTGCACAGGGAGAACATGCAGACTCCACACAGAAAGATCCCAGTGCCCCCACCGGGATGCAAACTGGTGACCTTCTAGCTGTGAGACAGTGCTACCAACTGGTGGACCTTGAAATGAGAATTTCTTGATTATAAATCAGGCCAGGAGTTTAATTTTAGTTTCCGGTATGTACGCTGGGTAACGCTTCACATTTGAATGACAGGTTAGATTTTGAAACCATGTGCACTTTTAATCTGCCTTGAAAGACATAAGTGAGAGGTGATGTTTCATGATCTTTCCTCAGGCAATAAAAAAAAAAAAAAACCACAAAAATGCATCTGTAGCCCAGAAGTTGAGCTTTGGCACAACACAGAGAAAAGGGAAAAGTTTGAATGTGACACATTTCTAAAAGAGTTGATGGTGCTTAAGGGTTCTCAGCTTTACAAACACATCCCATCCCTCTCTCTGTATGACTAGTCAAGCGTTTTCTCTGTCTGTCTCGCAGACAGACTCTCTGTGTCAAAATGTCATCCCACATGAAAATATTTTATTTGCTGAATGGAACAGTTGCTTCCCGTCATCATCCCGCATTTCATTTACACATTCAAATTGGCTACATGTGTTCGTCTCATCAAGTCTCTTCAGTACAGACTGAATACATATCATACGGGGCTGACCTTCTCTCCTCTTCACACTTTTGGAATGATAATCAATAGCAGCCCCCAGTATTGTTCAGGAAAACGTTTTCCTCACAGATGCTTTGTGAAATCAGAAGAAAAAAAAAAAATGGTGGTTAAAAGGACATCTTCATGCCTCAGTGTGTTCCAGAGTCACACACATTTCTATCTTTATGAGGACGGTATGCATCCCCTTGACCTGTAATGATGATAACTAAATGCTCTTACCTTTACCCATAATTCTGACCCGAGAACCCAGT